TATGTTAAAATCAAATGGGTGTCATATAAAGTAATTTTGAAAGATAATTTAACTCCCCCATATATACGGATTACTTGAGCATCATTGCATTCTTGTTGGAATTTTGTCCCTCTTATGATGGTGACGTTGTCACTTATATTGGCATGGATTTTGTTTGAATCTTAATCCATCTTGACTTTGGATTTACATTCCATCTTAATCATGGACTTTGTCCATTTTGAGTATGGATTGGAAAATCACTTTCAATATGGCCCTTGATTCTCTTGATAATTGGGTGACGACCCTGCTTGATCTAGGACTCCGGTCCTTCTTGTTACTTGATTATGCTTTGATTTAATTGCATGACATATGTGTTGGGTGAATCAACTAATCGGTGGACTTTCTTGGATTATATTTTGAAGTCTTCTTGACATTTAAGATTTTGAATAATGGTATCTTGAACTATTTTGTGATTTGATATTTAGCCCCCTTGAAATAATTGTACCTTCATTAAGTACTTGATGTTGATTTTGATAAGCTCATATCTAGAATTTATTCCATGTATTCATTACATAGTTTACCTTTCTTTTATTATGAAATGTTAGTTACGTTTATGTGCCACTAAGCTTTATGCTTAGCGATAGTTTGTTATTATTGTAGGCGATGTGCGGGGAGATGCTTGAGGATATTATTTGAAGCAGACTCTTTGAAAGATTAGATGAAGATCAAACTTGCATAAACATATGTATTTTTTTTTTGTTTTTGTAGACTTTTGGGGACTTGCACATGATCCACATGATACACTTAGATATGCATTCTTGAATGATTATTGGGTCATAAAACTATTATTTGGTAACTTATTCTTGGTGAGTGACTTGACTATTTTGGAGTGTTTATGCCCAAATCTTATAATTTATTAAATTTGGTATCTAAATTGAACTTGGAAATTTTTTGAAGACTTAACTAGCTTGTATTTGATTGAGAGTTGAACTTTTTGCTTGGTGTATAAAAAAGATATTCTTCTACTAAGTGTTTGATAAATTTTAAAGTATTGATTAACTTAACTAGATGTTGCTATTCATGGGCCATTTTTTTCCTAGTTTATTTTATTAAAAGAATATTTAAATTTATAAGTATTACATTAGTGTTTATTTGTGGCATCCTCCTGGGGGTTGCTACATGTAATCCCATAATTGACGATATATTGACTTTAAAGAGATTTATCTTTTGCCTACTCCCCTAGATTAACCACAATATCTAATCCTTGATCTTCGCATATTATAGATCATAAATGGGGATATTTAAATAAGAGGACGTGCGTTTTTCTTTTCTTTCTCCCTTTTATCTCTTTTTTTGGTAACTAACTTAATTTTTTTAATCACTAAAGAAATATTTATATTTTCATAGCTAAGATCACACAGCTAGCCATCTCATTAAGTGATTACAGGATACTACATAGCCATTCAACTAAGTTTTAACCACTATCTACTAAAGAAATGCCAGAAAGACAAAACAGTCTATTCAAACTGAAGACTATGTAGATAGGTTCTGGATCCAGGTAGAACTCGTGCGTTGTATATATAAGCAACCTCCTTCACAATAATTTCCCATTGTTTGCTTCTCTGTTCAAATACGTTGAGGTTCCTTTCAATCCAAATCTGATACACAGCTTCTACAAATACTATCTTAAACACTTGTGCCTGCTGAGATTTGCCTTTAGAACATGTGATGATCCACTGGTTATGTTGTTGCCAATCTCTGGTTCTAGGGCATTGAAGTTGCATCCATTGAAGTAGTTTATTCCAAACACTTTTAGTGTACTCACACTTCATAAATAAGTGTTCTCTATTTTCCTCCTTCCTTTGACAAAACACACATTGTGTATCCACATCGAGTCCCCATTTACACAACCTATCAGAAGTTAATAGCTTTCCATGCATCATGATCTACATTGAGAATTTAGCTTTGGGTTACGCTGCATTGCTAAAAAATAAACTTTTCCATTCCAATCGACTGTAATCACCAAGCAGGGTCAAGTATATTTGCATGATTAAACTTTTCTTGTGTGACTGCATATACTGTTGATTCTCTAGAACTTCCTTGGCCTCAAAACTTTCCTAACCATCCAACAAGCTTGTTGTGGTGTTGTCCAATTGGTGAACTTCTTCCCCTTGATATAGTATGTGTGAATCCGTCGAATCCAGAGTTTATCCTGCTTATGTGCCAAATCCTAGTAAGTTTTGACTATTGCTGCACGATTCCAAATCCTTAGATCTGTATATTCCTTCAATTAACTTGACTACCTTGGTAGGTATCACAAATAACTGCGCGTAGAAAGCCTGAATTCCAAATAATACACTATGTACTAACTGCACCCTCCCTGTATAGGATAATGTCTTTGCAGTCCAAGAAGTGATCCTTGTAGTCAATTTTGTCTATAAGGGGTTGTCACTGCAGTATACTGAGTTTCTTTATAGAAAATGAAACTCCAAGATACTTAAAGGGTAATTCTCCAGCTGTGAATCCTAAGTGCTGAAAAATCTGCTGCTTATGCTCTGCAGGAACTCCACCAAAATAGACTTTACTCTTGTTCATGTTTGCCTGCAGTCCAGATACCCGAGTGAATTGTAGAAATTTCTATTGCATTGCTTTTATAGAATTGATATCACCTCTGGTAAATAGTAGTAGGTCATCAACAAAGCTAAGGTGAGTTATTCCCAGCTTAGCACATCTAAGGTGATATTTGATCTCTCTAACTTCCTTAAGACAGTTATGATTCTGCTCAGGAACTCCATTGCAATCGCAAATAAGAAAGGTGACATTATATCACCTTGTCTTAATCCTTTAACAGCATTAAAGGGAGTTGTTGGCTCACCATTAACAATGATAAAGTAGTTGACAGTTTGAATTCATTCAATTATCGATGAGGTAAATAATTGAGGGATCCCCATCTCTTCCATGACTTGTCTTATATATGGCCATTCCACAGAATCATAAGCTTTTTGAAAGTCTATCTTGATCATGCATCGAGGTGAGATATGTTTTTAGAGTAGGCCTTCACTAGTTCATGAGCTAGGATTATACTGTCTACAATTCTTCTCCCTGGAATGAATCCAGCCTGAGCTTCATTGATAACAGTGGGAATGACAATTTGTAGTCGAGCTGCCAGAACCTTAGAGATGATCTTGTATAGCACAGTGCAACAAATAATTGGTCGAAACTCCTTTACAGTTTTAGGCCTGGCAGTCTTGGGCACTAATGTGATGGCAGTGCAGTTGATAGCTCTGTACATCCTGCTTGTAGCAAGGAAATTTAACACAACTTCTATGACTTCCTCTTTGATAACATGCCATGCCTTCTTGAAAAAAAACATGCATTGTAGCCATCTATTCTAGGTACTTTATCTTCTCCAATGGAGCATAGTCCTTCATAGATCTCTTCCTCAGTTACATCTTTACAAAGTTTCATTCTCTGTTGTTGTGAAAGCCTTGGTCCCTTTTGCATTACCAACTTGTCTATTGCAGGTAGTGAGTGAGCAGCAGTCTCCATTAGTGATTTATAGAAATCAACAATCTCCACTTTTATAGCTTCCGGATCAGTTAGTCTTTTAAGTGAATGTAGTTCCTGGATCTACTTCCTGTGGACCCTTTCCTTTATCACAAATGTAAAATACCTTGTATTAGAGTAACCTAATTTTATCCATTTAGCTCTAGTTTTTTGTCTTAAGGCTCCTTCTTATAGCATATTCTATTTTTTTAGGCTTTGGATAAGATTCTTCTCCTTCTCAGTCAGCTCATCAGTACAACTAGCATTAATGCTTTTTTAAACTATGAGAAGCTCAGTCATAGCAGTATCAATCTTTTGTTTGATGAATTTAAACTCTTCAATATTAAGTTTCCTGAGTAATGGTCTGAGTTTCTTCAATTTCACCCAGATGTCCTGCATTGTCCACCTGTACACTCTCTGGTTCCAAACTTGATGTACAATACTTAGGAAGGTTTCATGTTCAGCCCACACATTGAAGAACTTAAAAGAAATTCTCTTGTTGCCCTGGTCTACTGTGAGATTCAAGCTCATAGGAGCATGATCAGATATGAAAGGAACATCATATACAATAGTGATATGTCCATATTGCATTATCCATTCATTGTTGCCAAACAATCTATCGATTCTGCTCCAGATTCTATCCATTCCATCTTGTTTGTTAGGCCAAGTGTAGTAATCCCCTTCCCATGCCAATTCATTAATACCTAAATCTTGAACACACTTTGTGAAGTCATAAACCTCATACAAGTGTCCTGGATTTTCGTTGATCCTGTCTTGAAGCTGCAATACATAGTTGAAATTTCCTCTAAGGATCCATGGTTTGTTGGCCCCATGTCCAATCTTAATCAGGTTATCCCACAATTGTTTCCTTTGCTCAATAGTGTTGTATCCATAGACCACTGTAAGTAGACATTCCTGATCTCCTATGATTCCATTGACTAGGCAATGAACAACTTGTGCTTCTGAGATCCAATATTAGCCAAATTCTCCCATTAGTTGCACATGTGTAATTGTGCAAAATTTCCCAGTCTTGGACAATAAGGAAGCACACTTTCTTCATATTATGTTCCTTAACTCGAGTTTCTATGATACCAGCAAGCATTATGTTTTTAGCTTTTTGATAGTTCTTCAGCTCTTTCTACTTGTACCACTTATTGATGCCCCTGACATTCCCTATTAGCCAAGTCATAGAGTCTTGTGAGTATCCCCACCTCTATCATGAGGTAGAGAGGAGCTCATACTGGTACTCGTAGAACCTTTATGGAGATTATTCCTATTTAATGGAGATGATAGTAAAGAAAAATTTTCTAAGTTCATCATTGGGCTTTCCACCCCTCTGCCTTTACCTGCTGATCTCATTCTTGTAGCCTCATGTACAGAAATCTCATGACTCTTTCTAGTCTCATATGACAAGTTAGCTTCATGTGTCACCACTGCTAAGCTAACATGTTCTTGTTGTTGTGCTATGGGAGTTTTTATCGATTCACTTTGTTGGTAGTTTCAACCCCCACTGGTCCTTTATATCTCCATTCATATGTTACTTTCTTTTGTTCTCTTCTTCGTTTTGGCTTCTCATTCTTCTGCATTTTAGGCCCTTTCTGAGCAGGGCATATGTGCCCAATCATCTGGCATTTGTCACAATAGTTAGGTTTCCAATCATACGCCAACTGCTGTTGGAGTTTTCTGCCTCTAGGATCCATAACAGTTATCTCTGTAGGCAGGGTCTTTGTTATATTGACTTCTATCAGCATCCTCGCATAGGAGATTCTTGTTTGCTTGGTAGTGCATTCATCTGCAAATAAAAGTTTTCCAATTGCACTGGCGATCTTACTTAGAGATTCACTACCCCAGCAACTCATAGGTAGTTTAGGGAGTATAACCCATAGAGGGATATCAGCTAGGAATTCCTGGCTTAAATCAAAATCAGGTGTCCATATCTTTACAATTATTGGTCTATTGTTGATGGTGTGTGGACCATCATAGAACACTTTGTGCATATCCACCATTGATTGGAACTTAATCATATAATAACCCTCATCATGTAAGAACAAGTCAGGTTCAGTAATATCTAGCCAATGCAGTGCAATATATCTCTTCATTGTATTATAACCAGGATTTTCTCCAATTATATACGCAATCATCGCCACATTCCATTTCCCCTCTTCTTCCACCACATCCTGAAGTTCTAGTTGCACTACTGGTTGCCTATCAACAACTTGAGGAGGTATGTATCGAAGTGTCATACCATGTGTAGTTACTCGATTCTACTGAAACAAGTTCACCTAGGTTTTTGGCCCTTCTCTGCTATACGAGGGGATTGCTGCTGGAATTGTCTGTTCATGGAGTTTGAAGTAGCAATGTTTGGTACAGTGGCCTCGATTCTGTCGGTAGTATTAGTCTGCTCCTTAAGGATTTCAGTACCAATTTTAGGATATTTGGTCTCATTTCTATGTTTGTTAAGCTCCTTTGTATTTCCCCTTTCTTTGCTACATTACTGTTAGCATTACTCTATTTAGGGTTAGCCATGGCTACTGTTCCATTGGTTTTCTCCCCATATCTAGCTATAACAACATTATCAACTTGCCATATTATCTCCGCTGCACTAAGATTCAATTTCCTGCTCGCTCCAGTGGCAATTGAAGATGATCCTTCTTCACTCATAATCATCTGCGCCATTTGTTGCTCCGGTGGTATTGTCTCTTTTGCTTGGGGTGGAATTGATTTCCTAGGTTGATAACTAGTACTTACTGAGCTGCCAAAAGCAATAATAGGTAATTTCTTTGTCCTTCCTCGTCCGCGACCTCGGCCTCTCCCCATGGAAGTCGCGACCAGCGTACGTTAGCTAACGGGCGCCGAGAGCATGAGAGAGAAAGCCCTTTTACTCTATCAACCTGTTGCCTATCTGTAACAGCATTTCAGTAAAGCCAACATAAAAATTTTATCTCTCTTTCTCTTTCCTTATTTTGTTCTTTGTCTCCCCTTAACTTGTTACTTCTCCATCACTAAGATAAACTCTTTTTATTTTTTCCTCCTAATTTGTCTTGATAATAAAATTTTGATTAAATATGCACATGATACTATTCCATGTAAATATACACGGCCATTATATATATATATANTCATCCTCTTAGTTATTAATGATTTTGCTCACAAAAACTTTTCCCCTTCCGTGTCAACTTTCTCATATTAATATATCTTGCATGATTCAAATGATAATATGAAACTAAGCATTAAAATACAAGTTAGCATGCTAGAGCTAGAGATCTGTAAAAAAAAAAATTAATAAATAGAGATATTATAGATCTTAACAAATGTGAGAAGCATGTTAATTACAGTTGAGCTACATCCACACATCTGAAATAAGGCCTTTCTAAATTAAAGCTACAACGTCAAGAATTTCACTGTCCTAGCGCCCAAATATTAGGATGTAATTGTGGGGTCCATCCTCATAAATGAAAGAAAGAAAAAAAAAAGGAAAGGGGTCCATCCCTATAAATGAAAGAAGGAAAATAAGAAAAGGGGTCTATCCCCAAAAATGAAAGAAAGAAAAAGAAGGAAAAGTATGTGCAAATCGTCAAATATGGTAGGCTCCAGAGAGTGAGGCTTCGCCTATAAAAAGAGAGCCTTGTTTCGTAGTGAATTTATGGATTTGAATACTTCTAACACTGAATTCTCTTTTGTAAATTCAACTTGACTTGTACCTGGAACAGAGAAAAAGAGTATCCAATTGAAATCTAGTTTTTTCTATTTTTCACTTAGATGTGCTCGGCAGATGCTAAAGCCAGAGCGTGATGGCAAGAATTGATCGAGCGAAGAATCACAGTTCTCAGCTATCACATTCAGAAAGACTACTGACCTAATTTCACTCAATTAACTAAACTATACCCTTACAAAACTTATTAGTACTCCTACACAGTTGTTCAATTTTAATGTCATTCTCAACTCTATTCCTAACTGGGTCTTTGATTTAAGGCCCTTTTGAGGAGGGTATCTTTTTGGTTAATATCAGCCCGGCTCGTATGGAATTTCGGTCTTTCTTAGTTGATAACTTTATTGCAATTTTCAGTACTCTAGTTACTCCTGCACAAGCAACAACAACTATGGATTTGATTGAGGAGCGCTGGGAAGAATGGATCGGGGAGATGCCCTTGAAGATCACTTACCCAACTTTGGAAGGGCATGAGTGGAAAATTGTCACTGATTTGATCCAAAATACACAGGGTGGAGTTACCTTATTGGTGAGTCTTGGCCGAGTTAGTGTTTAAGGAATAAAACCTTATTGTAGGTTCTTTATTATTTAAATAGTGCCAAATTCAAAAATAAAAGGAAAAAGATGCTTGTATGCTCATTAGATTTGCTAACTCAATTGATCTTATTGTGTCTAGATCAGGGTTCCCCGAGATTCGGTTCTCATTTCTACACACCAACAAAGAGAAAGAAAGAGTGAGGTTTCACAGACAGGGTATAAGAAAATAATTTATGAGAAAAATAAAAAGTGAGTGATATTGTAGTGAGTTGGAAATATCAAAAGAGGGTTATTTCTTTTGAGTGTTGTAGTGGTCTTTGGAGTATTTTACTCGGACCTACAAAGTATAAAATTCCTTGCTATAGTAATATCAATTGCTCCTCTCGGGGTCATGGTTTTTTTCCTTATTCAAAAGGGTTTTTCACGTAAAAATTATTGTGTTCTTGTTGTTCTTTTTATTTTTGTTGATTACCATATCTCGGTGCTACGATATTATTCCGCTTTTATTACTAACTCAACGGAAAAAAAATATCCGGAGTAAAGTACGAGGTAGAAAAATTCAACGAAGATAATGGTTTCTCAACATGGCAAAGAATGATGAGGGATCTGGTCATTCAACAAGGATTACACAAGGTACTAGATGTTGATGCCAAAAAACTTAATACTATGAAAGCTGAGGATTGGACTGACTTGGATGAAAGGGATGCTAGTGCAATCAAGTTGCACTTATTAAATGATGTGGTAAATAACATCATTGATGAAGACACCGCACGTGGCATTTGGACAAGGTTGGAAATCCTATACATGTCCAAAATGCTGATAAATAAATTGTACGTGAAGAAGCAATTATAGGCCCTACACATAGGTGAAGGTACAATTTTTATATCATATTTAAATGTGTTTAACGGACTAATCACACAGCTCACCAACCTCGGAGTGAAAATCGAGGAAGAAGATAAAGCCATATTGTTATTGAACTTGTTGCCATCATCGTACGATAATTTGGCAATACCCATCCTGCACGGTAAGACTACCATTGAGTTGAAAGACATCATATCGACTCTTCTATTTAATGAGAAGACGAGAAAAATGCTTGAAAATCAAGGACATGCTCTTATCACAGAAGGTAGATGCAGGGGTTATCAAAGGAGTTCGAGCAACTATGGTAGATTCGGAGCTCGTGGGAAGTCTAAGAACCGATCCAAATCAAAAGCCAGAAATTGCTACAATTGTGATCAACCAGGTCACTTCAAAAGAGATTTCCCAAATCCAAGGAAGGGCTAATGTAAAAGAGTGGCCAAAAGAACGACGACAACACAATTGCCATGGTCAAAACAATGATAATGTTGTTCTCTTTATAAATGAGGAAGAGAAATGCATACACTTGTTAGGTCCAAAGTCAGAATGGGTGGTTGATACAACAACATCTTACCATGCCACACCGGTAAGAGATCTTCTTTGTAGATATGTAGCAGGTGATTTCGGCACTGTGATAATGGGTAACACAAGTTAATCAAAGATTGCAGGGATTGGTGACATTTGTATCAAGACGAATGTCAGATGTATATTGGTTCTAAAGGACATGTGACATGTACCTGATTTGCGGATGAACTTGATCTCGGGAATTGGTTTAGACCGAGATGGATACGAGAACTATTTTGCAAATCAAAAGTGGAGACTCACCAAGAGATCATTGGTGATTGCAAAAGGAGTTGCTCGTGGCATGTTGTAAAGACAAATGCAGAAATATGCCAAGGTGAATTGAACGCAGCACAAGATGAGATTTCTGCAGATTTGTGGCACAAAAGAGTATGTCATATGAGTGAGAAGGGATTGCAGATTCTTGCCAAGAAATCACTCATTTTTTATGCCAAAGGTACAAAGGTAAAACCTTATGGCTACTGTTTATTTGGTAAGCAACATAGAGTCTCATTTCAGATATCGTCTGAAAGAAAATTAAATATACTTGATTTGGTATATTCTGATGTTTGTGGTCCAATGAAAACTGAATCGATGGGCGGTAAAAAATATTTTTTTACTTTTATTGATGATGTTTCACGAAAATTATGGGTTTGTATTTTGAAAACCAAAAATCAGGTGTTTCAAGTTTTCCAAAAGTTTCATGCCTTGGTGGAAAGGGAGACATGCCAAAAGCTAAAGCGTCTCCGAAGTGACAATGGAGGTGAGTACACTTCAAGAGAATTTGAAGTGTACTGTTTGAGCCATGGGATCAGACATGAAAAGAGAGTTCCTGGAACCCCACAACACAATGGCATAGTCGCGAGGATGAACCGCACCATTGTTGAGAAGGTGAGAAGCATGCTCAAAATAGCTAGACTAGACTGCCTAAGTCATTCTAGGGTGAAGCAGTTCAGACAACCTGTTACCTAAACAATAGGAGTCCATCAGTTCTATTCGAGTTTTACATCCCAGAGAGAGTTTGGACCAACAAGGAAGTGTCATACTCACATCTAAAGGTGTTCAGTTGTAGAGATTTTACACATTTACCAAAGGAGCAGAGAACAAAGCTGGATGATAAATATTTTCCCTGCATATTCATCGGATATGGAGATGAAGAGTTCGGGTATAAATTGTGGGATCCTATAAAGAAGAAGTTCATCAGAAGTAGAGATGTAGTCTTCCGAGAAAGTAAAGTTGGAACTGTAGATGACCAGCCAGAGAAGACAACAAATGGTATAATCCCTAACCTTATTACCATTCCTTCTTCTTCTAACTATCCCACAAGTGCATAAAGTACGACCGACGAGGTTGCTGAGCAGGGGGAGCAACCTGGTGAGGTTATTGAGCAGGGGGAGAAACTTGATGATGATGTCGAGCAAGTGGAACACCCCACTCAGGGAGAAGAACAACCTCAACCTCTGAGGAGATCAGAAAATCCAAGGGTAGAGTTATGCAGGTACCCTTCTATAGAGTATGTCCTCATCAATGATGAGGGGGAGCCAGAAAATCTTAAAGAGGTGTTGTCCCATCCAGAAA